CAAGTGTTGGACCAATATTTGCAAAGTACTGGTTTAATGTGTTTGCAATATCTTCTGGATTAGTTATATCACCATTATTAGTTTTCACACTTGCTATGTTCGTATTTTTATTCTTACCTGGTACTATAAATCTGATATTATCCCAAATCTTCTTTGGGTCTTTTGTATTTAGTTGTTCTGTAAAATACTCTTTTTTGTATTTTCTAAGTTCAATGTTAACTTTATTTCTTAGTTTCCTATATTCGGTCCACATATGGGGTTCATTTTTCTTATTGGCTCTCCTTTTTAGAACATCTCTTTCTCTCATAAGCTTTAAGACTTTTTGCGTTAGCCATGGGCTGTTTTTGTGTCTCATCCTTTTACATTTTATCGGTGCATTCTTATTGGCAATATTTAGAAATGTTTCCTCAAAATATTGAACAGCATCATCCACATTTGTGTAAGTTGTGATTTCTGTCCAGTTTACATTTAATATATCTGTTCTAAACTTTGCTTCATCAAAATTCTTAAAGTTTCTACATTTCTTTTCTTTGTAATAATTTCAAAAAATTTTGGTGGTGTTGGCACCAAGATTTGTCTTAGAGGCCTATATAATTTTGAGTCAGAGAAATTAACATGAATTGCAAGCATAATAACATAGCTCATGCACAAATTTAATCTATTTTGTATAGGCGGAAAGTATTACATTAGTAGCCTATATTTCTAAAAAAACCTTTGACCAATTCTGTTCTGCTATCAATGCAAATACATAAACAACTATTCTTCCATCTGACATTTTTTCAAATAAACAATTGAATGAATAAATAAATTAAAAATATAACTGACTTTTTAATATTTGATTTGATTTTAATGTTTTCACCATATGCAGTGACATCAAAGATTAAGGTACCATGCTTCTACCATGGAGGAATAGGTTTGCTGGTACCATAGAGAATGAAAATTTCAAGGATAGTGGTGACTGAAAGCATCTGAAAGCTTGTGGTATTAAGCAATTATTAGACGTTTTAAGTGCAGTTAAAACGTCACTGTTAATTAACCATAATGTTAAGTGGCATAAACAAATTTTAATGTTCTATTGCTTACTAAAAGCATTATTCATGGTAGCTGACATGCCAGATGTGACATTACAAACACATGATGAGCCATGTAAGTATTTACATTATTTTATCGAGCTTTTCAGTTTTGTTTTTGAAAGTTTAAACAGACTTTTACTTCTGGCACATGTTGAAACAATTAAAGAGATACCAAAAAGTGATTAAGTGATAAAGAATGCTCCTTTCCGTTCGGGCGAGAACTGGAAATGGCCATTTCCGAATTTATACCGAGTTACACGCCACAAAAAACTCACCGAACGCACCATATGTCTCTATGGGAGCAGCAGTAGATTTGTTCCTATTTCTGTAGCAGGGGAAATAGCTTGAACGGACCTATGGTTTATTTTAATCGATATGGATGTCTAGTAACAAAAGCTGACAATAATTACTGTACAATTTTCTTTCTTCTACGAAATATAGGAAAAATAAACCATACAGTATTTGTATTTTTTTTTTTCTATGGACAAAAATATTTTCTTGATTCTTGCAGATTTTCCCCCTATTTTTCCTGAACCGATCTTTCATATTTTAGAATAAATCAATTGTTTGAATTTATGAGTTGCGATGTTTTCCTTATCTGAACCATTATCCCAACCTGGACTTATCCTAAGTTCCTTCCTGTAGTAACCATCAATGCGCAAACAGTGCTATTAATAACACCTTTGTGTTATATGTTGACATTTAAAACTACAGTACTTTCAACACATCTAGTTATGAAAAGCCTACTTAAACATATTATTATTCAATTACAATAATTACTGCACCAGCATCACAATTCAACCATAACAGATGCACTTGCAAAGATACTGTACTGACTCATAATCAATATTAATCTTGAATAAAAAACATGACCCATGACATTTAAGTGAAAACTTAAACAAAACATTTGTTATGAATCATAATGTATCCAAATTAAGAAATAACAAGTTCTACTAGTGTAACTTAGCATAATCTTATAACTTTTATTTGGTCCTGTTCTCTTGATGTTTATACAGTATATTTGTATACTGCTTTCATTTATTTTATGTAATGTGTTTAATAAAGACTGCTTGAGTGTAAAATACACATTATTTTTGGGTCATGCCACTCTATGAAATTTTATGTGAAAAATGTATGTGATTTTATTCAAGATATATTTTATTCATAAAAACATAAAAAAATTGTTTATGGCAGCCAAAGGCTGAATTGACACAATTTTACAAAATTTAACATTCACATTTTTTTACATTCAAAGATAAAACAATGGACCAATTAATTAATGATAATGAAAAAAAACCATCTAAAAATGCAAGTAAAAAAATCCACAATTTCACAAAGCCAAAACTCAATAAAAATTAACATTAAAGTGACCATCAATCCAATTAAAAGTAACTCATGAACTAACTAGAAATGAAAGCACTAGACTGTTGAAGCATCCTTATTCCACAAATTGATCGAATAGGGGATTGGACTATTTTTTAACCGTTTTGTACGAATCTTGGGTAAGGAGAGAAGGTATAAGGTTGGCATTACGTAATATTCTACAACTCTCTTGCACTGTGGATCTAGGCAACCAACTACGAAAATCAGGAGAATTCATTAGTTTATTTGCAAATTGAAGACATATTTTATCTCTGCGATTTCTTAATGTAGTTAAATTGCAATGGACTAAGGCATCTGGGTAAGTAGTATAACTTGGACCTAGGATGATTTTACAACCTCTTTTTTGTAAGCGTTCAATTGCATGATGCTAAGATGTCTGACTGGGGAGGGGCTAAGTATTTATGGGTGTAACTAATAGTGCGCAGCGTTATCTGAGGGTCGAAGGCCAAGCCGAGGGTGCGTATGGAAGGGAGGTGTCCCCTCCTCCTAAAACAAGATAAAAAAAAAAATTGGGACTTCTAGATGGCTGGAAACATTATGGTAAAGCACCAATTTCCTGCAAACAAGCTATCAAATGCATTTATAACCATGTTTTTGTCCCTAACCTTTTAAAAACACATGTTTTTTTGCTCGGTAAACAGGCTCACGGATATTTAATGCTGATATCTGTTATCTGAGTTTAAAAAAAAAAAAAAAAATTTGGAGATTATATATTTTAAAATTTTAATTTCCCCTTTGATGTTTTCCCTGTAATATCAACAAGGTTTAATAATTTGTTTCTGGCACATCACTGAACGCATCCCATTTAATTATGCGTACCATTCACTAAGTTAAGTGTCAATCTTTTTAAGTACAATCCACAACACTGTCATTTTTTTTAGTTTGTAAATCATATTCTGTTAAATTTAGGCCTACAGAAGATTGTAATAGAAAGATAAGATCATATTTTATTATCATGTAATTCTATAGACCTACAGATAGAGCTATAGCCTTTAACATCGGCGCTGGTTCCAGCCGCTCCTCGCCCATGGTTCGGTTGGTAGAACTAAGTCTTCTCGGATAAGGACTTAAAATGGAGGTCCAGTGTATACATCTGGCTCGTGTGCACTTTAAAGAACCCATTGCATCTTTCGGAAGAGTAGGGGGTTACCCCGATGTTATGGTTCATTTCAGCCCCTGACGTTGTGGAATGATGTGAACATGTATCTACCAAGAAGCGCCTTTTACGGCTGCTAGGTAGTCACAGACCACGCCCATTTGCAATTCAGCACAATGACGCTGCAAGTTATGGGTTATTCTCCTACCTTTACCTTTACCTTAGACCTACATGTAACATTGTGATCTATATATAGGGGAAATTAAAAAGGCCATATTACTAACTCAACATTTTGATTTTATTAGGAATAACATACAAAGAAAGAGTATCAACAATTTTATTTGAACACAATGCACATATAAAATGTAAGCCTATTAGGATATATCATCGGAGAATCTATAAATGGGACTGTACGTAGCAAAAGATAGAATGCTTTAATATCTACCAACTAGAAATTGCAAATTGCAAGTGAAGTGCTGCGAAGTACAACTGCATATAAATGTTCTTCGAACAAAATTATTTATGCGAGTCAAGTGAAAATAACGAAAAATAAAAATATAACAAATAATATGAGACACGACCCATTGTTTATATTAGAACAGCGTTGGTACCGTGTACAATAGTGTTTTGCTGCAGTGACATCTCGCTGCTGGCGATGACTTGCTGCTGCTGGCGATGACTCGCTGCTGGCGAATCAATCTGCGCATGTGTATAAAATGGTATTTATTTCCGAAAACACTGTGCATGCCAGTCTACAACAAGCGTCGCCTAAATGTAATAATTAGCACGTTGAAATAGGCTAGTAAATAAGTTTAACTGGGTTCGTAAATAATATTGGCCTCAAAATATTGTGGCTGAGACATGGGCCGATTAAACGTAGAAATGGAAACCTAGAAATATAGTAAAAACGCTGAATAGTAATACTCCAGCGTCGTGACATGCGGACGTTGGTACAAGTAGGTTAGTCTTCAAACGTTGCCTAAAGTAATTGATTTTACCCGGCAGAACGAAAGAAGGAAACTCAGCTTCTCAGTTGTCTTAGGCGCTCGATTTTTTTTAACAAACAATGACCTTTCAGAGGTCAAATTGCTGAGAATCTATTAATGGGACTGTATGTAGCAAAAGATAGAATGCTTTAATATCTACCAATTAGCTGCAGGGAACCATTTGCTGCAAGTTAAGACACAAAACACATTTTTTGTAAAAATGAAAAAAAAAATGAATTTATGTTGTGGAAGGGTGTATGCTTGGTGATTTTGTAGAGGCACTATATTTGGTTTGGTTATATTGATTTGATTAACGTTTTACAACTCTTCATGTACGATTTATATTGTAGTCGCCATTGAAAGATTTTATGTAGGTATTGATCATGTGTCAGGTGTAATGTAACAGTCTGAACTTATATACAGGTATTTATATATACTGGATTGGATTGGATTTATTTGGTGTATACACCAAGGATAGCACATGAAAGTCTAGAATACTTATTTCCAGTGGGGTCCTTCTGGTGGCAGTACACCGGATGACAATCCCTTTACATTTATCTTATACATTTATATATATTCTTTATATTTAATCTTCAGGGGCAGCCTTATGTTCCCATTCTATAAAATCTTTAGCTAATGTAATGTCATCAATGGTGGCTGCCCCATTACACATTTTGAGTTAACTACAGTATATTAAATTGTTTTTCGTCATTGAATAAAATGACAATTTCCATCCAAACCAGTGTTTGCTTTCTTTTTTCCGTCTTATACATGCCTCCTGCGACATGAAGGCTAGCCTGTATAGAATTCACAGGTGAGCAAGAGGTGCTTGTCTGTCTAGTCTGATCCAATGCTCTCAGCAGTCTACCTATACATCACTGTATTATTATTAGTAGTAGTAGAGAATTTCTTTTTACACTTACTTTAAAGTGCTTCTGTAAGAGCCTGTTTGTGCTAGTTTCCAAGAACCTAAGAGGTATTCAGTTTAATACAATCACACAAACTCAACTTTGCAGGCGTGTTGCAAAACTCAAAGGCGAAGCGATTATGAATCAAATTGTTGGGCGCTTAATTTATCATTAGGTGCATGTAAGCACGGCTTAAGTGACGTGAGCTTTGAAAATGTGACTTACCTGGATATCCTATTGATTATTATCCTGTAAGATTAACATTTCTGTTTAAATTAAATATACTTTGTATTCATGTTTTCTAAGGCAATAAGTTCCTTTTTGCCTGACAACTGTATCTATTGTTAGGATGTCAATGCTATGTACAACTAGCGATAGGGTTTACTGGTTTTTTTTCAAACATAAGATAAAAAAAAATTCTGCAGACTAACAAAAAAGCCATAAAAAGTGCAGTATACCAATGTGTTAGCAATTCAATAAGCAATGTAATCAAACCATTTTGGTTTACCTTGGGCTGTGTTCATAATTTTTAATGCGTGATAGTCTTACGTTACATTGATATCCTGGGAGCAGGCCCATATGCAAGGGGAGGGTGTGCATTCCACACATTACCAGAGGTAACATTTTTTTCCACATTTTCGGAGGTAGGAAATTAAAAACTCCCTCTCGCACATTCCAGAAATTCATCCCCTACTTCCTT